CTTGTCAGCACTCATTGGCTTTTTTTTCAGTATTTTGAGGGATAGAGAGAGATAATTCACATACGTTCTATTAGAGTATATTGTTATAATTCTGTTTTATTATTAGCTTTTGTTGTTAACCTCTTATCTTGCATAGTTTATAAAGTTTATCAGACATATATATATAGGGAAAAAATAGTATATTAAGTGTTTGGGGAAGACATGACATTTTTCTATGCAAAAATGTGCCATGACTTCCCCGACAACCCAGTATATAGTGTTTAGTACTATCCACACTTTCAGGCCTCTGTTGGAAGTCTTGGAATGTATCACAGATGTTGTGTCATGAAACAACGTATATGTGTGTGTTGGGGCATAATGTAAAATATACTTTTTACCGAAGGTGTTGGAAGAATGGAAAGTCTCTGCTATAACTGATTTCATTATTCATCATTCTGTGGCAAATGTTCCTCGTCATTAGGTAGAGCAAGAAGTAAGGCACTTCAAGTTCTTTTGTGGCATAGTTCACAGTCTGGGTGGGTACTTACTGCTTTAAGTAAATCAATTTACAGATCCCCTGTTTCCATAACTACTTAGCATCATGTTAGTTATTCTCCATTTCTGCATTTACATTTGTTCTCTCACTTTATAGAAAAAAAATATATCCCTTATGTAGTGTATAAAATCTTCCAGGTAAAAACAAAAGGACAATTCAAAATACAAAATAATAATGATAAGTCAAGGTACCATAAACCCACTTAAGCTTCATGTCTTTTCCCATCTTATATATGTTCCAGTTAAGGGTAAAATATGGCTATCAGAAATAGGGCAATTGGGGACTAGCAGTTGGTGTTATGGTTATGTAGTCGACCACAATTCGAGTCCTGGGTCCGGTGGCTTAAAGTCACACTGGGTACGCGTGGGTGCATACCCAAGAGCCTGAGAGGAGAATGGAGGAGAGGGGAATTGTGGTGTGGCCATCCCCCTGGGGGGCGATTTCTCGCTTTCTGTCTTTCTGGTGAGTGCTTGCACCCTATAGCAAAAACTTCTCCAAAAAAAAAAAAAAGGGGGCAATTGATTATTTGTTGTCATTTTCTGAAATTGACATATGATATGAATATTGGTGAGTGGGAGTGATAGTAATTTTCCTTTAATCATCATATCTCTTCCATTCTCTGTTGAGAAGAATGTTGTTATTGAAGAAATGTCTAGGGAGAACAGAGCCAGCATTGAAGAACATATTAAACCTTCATTTAAAAAATGTATTTAAATATAACCTTTTTTTCCCCCCAGCTATTCTCAATACATATCCATGGGATATGTCATCATCTGGAAAGAAAAGCAGCATCGAACAGCTAAGTAGTGGAGGTGAGTAGCACTGATAATTATAAATATAATATGGATTATTTTCACAGACCTTCATGTTTTTCACATTACACTGGAATAAAAAAGGTCATACAAACTCTTATTTTAGATTCTGTAGGTGTTCAAGAAAAGTTAAAATGTGGGGACCAGCAGGTGGCATGGTGGCTCTCTCTCTCTCTCTCTCTCTCTCTCTCTCTCTCTCTGTGTGTGTGTGTGTTTCTCCCTCTGGTCAAATTGAAATAAATGAATGAATAATTAAAGTTAAATAAATAATAATTTTAAAAAAAGAAAGGTTAAAATATATTGTGATAATTACTGGTATGGTTCTCCAGGTTTTCCATTTTTCTCTCCATTGGATTA